CCTCTCTGCTGCTACAGATTCCTTCTTGGGCAAAATGAATTCATATGGTGTCTAATAAAGAATGCTAACACAGACAGTTTCAGGCATGGTCTTAGATACACAAACAACAAAATTGAGTGCACTCCTTTTCAATATAAATCAAACGTCAAATGAGTCAAGGGCATGTCTGTTCGCAAGGAAGTGGAACTGTGGTGAGGGGAAAAAAAAAAAAAAAAGTTCAAGAAAACAACAACTGCGCCCCTGAAGAAATTAAACTTATTTCAAGAAAGTGGAGATCAGGAGATTTAAGGAGATTTAAAATGAAATCTCTTACCCAACACACATTTATTTATTTATTTTTTTTAAGTCGTCCTCTACCGTCGTTGAACAATATTTGGGCTGAACTCCAATTCCAAAAGTTGCCTTCTGCTCCTAATCATGTCAAAATAGAGACTATGAGAGAACACTATACTCTGAAAAGAATAACGGCAGCAGAAATTTACATAGCATCGCCTGAATAATTAACATCTCTGGAACAATACTCTTTGAACAGAAAACCCAAAGTAGAGATGGTTATAATGTACACCACATTCAGGAGCGATACCCTATATGTACCGTCTATCATGGTGATAAGAGTGTCATTGACTTTTGCTGGTTTTACCACTGCTTGATGGGGACACCATGCAGAACCTCAGTCAACCACAATGTCCTGTGTTTACCAAGGTGTAGTAGTGTCAAATCTGTCAGAGGTAGAGCTTAGCTGAAACCGCGTAATCAGCAGGACAATGATCCCAAACCAGCAGCAGACCTACGACAAAATGACCCAACAGTAAAGAATTAAAGTTGTGTAACATCCCGCTTAAAGCACAGAGCTCAATCTGGTTGAAATGCAGCGGTGAGACCATAAACGCATACCTGCAAACCTCAACAAACATGACGCATTGCAGAGGAGAGTTGGTCAGAAGTCTTCCACGACAGAGTGAGAGACTAATACAGTCGGAAAGAAAACAAATGCTTTATATGACTTTTATTTCAACAAGATGGTTTTCTCCCATCACACATGAGCAAAGGTTTAGGTTTTGCGCTGTCATAGAAACGAGGTTTTAACTGTATCTTGCATAACGGTGTCACGCAATGCACTAAAGAGATTTTGAGCCTATTCTACAGAAACAACCAGAGTACAAAGTCCATTAGTTGCTTTGTTAAAATGGGGGAAAAATAAAATAATTCCAGTGTCTTTTGTGGTCAGAGGTTCCCTTTCCCTGCTGTGACAAGACGGGGAATACAGAAACACTGGGGGGGAAAAAAGAGAAAAACAATTCAGCATGATTTTTAGGAGCTTGCCATAATCCCAACATTAACTTTTTAAATGAACTGTTTTTACATAGCTAATTTACTATTAGCATCTACATTCTTTTGTTTTTACTCATTTTACTGATGATGTAAATCTACATTTCCCCTAAATTCTCGCTCTACCTTTTATGCCTGACATTTTTTTCTTCTTCTTCTTCTTCTTCTGTGTGTTTTGTTGTTTTCCCAGGACTTTCGAGCAGGGCTTGGTATATGCGAGGTGGAACTCAGTGCTGCCAACATTAAAGAAGTGGACCGCAGAGGCTTTGAAATCAACACACCTTTCAAAAATTTCTGGTAGGTTGGCTCTACCTTTGTAGCTTTATGTGTGTGTGACCGCTGAATCTGCATGACGTCTTACTTCATCTCCGTTGACTGTGACAATAAGTGATGGAGGGATGTGCGAAAAGTATTCGCCACCATGCAGATTGTTTTTTTTTCTGTCACACGTAAATGTCTTCGATCGTCGAAGAATGTTTAAAATAAAACTAATTTACCAGTCCGTGGAGAGTTATAGGACCTTTTCTGAGGATTTGGGACTCCAGAAACCCAAAGTGAGAGGCGTCATCTGCAAATGGAGAAACGTGGGGAAAAATTGTGAACCTTGCCAAATATTTACCAAATATTTGGAAATAAACTTTAAACAGGAATGGTTTTGTCTGATTTAATGTTGGTGGAAAAAAAGTTAGCCTTTTTTTTTTTTTTTTTTTTTACAATGTATGAAAATATCCTACTTCAGCAGATGATGTCTCTCTTAAGGTTCTGACCTTAGTTTATGATAAAAGCTTATTTCATCCGACAGTAAGAAATGTTGACAGCAATTAGATAAACCTTTGTAAGGCAGGCTCACTTTGAGAAATTTGGCATGAAATGAGTTAATAGATCAAGGCAATTAGTTTTCCATTTCATTTTAATTCCCCAGCCAACGCTTACTGGTTGTCTATGTTCCTCGAAGCTCACGCGTCGTCCACAGTCCTTGTTGCCAAAAAACGATCTCGCACATTAGCTCTGGAACTGGCCAATCAGTAAGTCACTTTCCCGCCTGCGAAACTCCACTTTATCTTTTGTTGTTTTGTTTTCAAAAAGACCCGAATATGAACATAGGAAGTCATTGATTTATTTCTAGAGCCATCTGAGCAGAACAGGAGCATCATTAAAAACAAATCCATGCACTGACAATGCAAAAAAGAAAGAGGGGGAAAAAAAAGCACTCCATATGCTGTCCTTTTGAGGTGTAAAATGTAAAAATAATGAGCAGGCATGTCAAAAAGTTAAGACGCTGCTGTGGTGAGACAAAAGAGAATCCTAAGTTTGCTTTTCCTTTATTGATCAGCTCTTCCCTGTCAAATCTTTCTCAGGAAGCGCCTTGTGAAATCACCGTGCCCCACACCCAGCTTATCGATCAGCACGTTGTCCGCAGTACATGCGAGCCGTGTCCTGTACAAAAACCCGCTAATTATTGATCAGCGCTGTTTTTTCTGAAGCGTCCTTTGAGAGCTTTGTGGAGGTATCTCTGCCTCTGTAGAGCTCGGAGCCTTTCAGGTGACTCCCGTCTTCTCCCCCTCCCCCCAACCCCCTCTCTCGAGGGCCCACAATCAATGGGCACGCCGCTTGTTTGTGCTGTAATGGCCCGTTTAGAATACAAGCATGACAGCTGCCCGGAAAAGAAAGTGCGGCTTGTTTGTTTGTGTCCGCTTGTTCACTGTCCCCCCCCCCCCCCTTTTTTTTTTTCCACGTGTAAAGATTTTTTTTTTCTTTTTGGCCTTGTGCTTCTAGCTGTATTGTGTATCTGATCGATCTATTTGTGGCAGCTACCTTAATACTCCCGTCGTTGTACGGTCGCTTCGTTAACACACTAGTCGTAATTGTACCAGAAGAAAAGGGATGAGGGGAAAAAAAAAAAAAAAAAAAAAAACA